TTTATGCCAAATTAGAAAGAAATCGGAATGTATCTTTTGGGTAGGTTTATTTGTAAGTATAGCACACATTGAGCAGATTGAGCGTACATTGATACATTACGAATTATTGGTTAGTCATGTTGCTGTATTTCGAAAGGACACGTTACTAATGCGATATGCAACAAGGTAGCGAAAGCAATGATGTGTACTTTAATTACGATTATTGGAAACGAAACATAGTAACGCTTACCTTCCTATTAATAGCTTTATTATATTATTATACGCGCAAGCAATGATTTGAGGTCTTTCGTCGTCTCAAATAATCCGCGAATAATTAACAAGTTTTTATTAGTCGCAGGCGGATTTCACGTTAATAGACTTTTAATTTCTCAATTGATTGACATTGCCGAGGAAAGATCGACTTTACGTTATTAAGAAATGACGTCTAAATATTTTATGATTGTGCTTTCAAGTCGCTTGTATTCTTCGATATTTACGAAAATAACAATAAAAACTGCAGTGTTCTGTACGCAGATTGATGAGTGTTGGGAATTTTAACATATGAGAATATATGCGTTTAATCATTTAACTAAGGTTTTGTTTTGTTATAGATAGTATATTTAACACGCTGTTACACTCGTTGATCGTCGAACAGGGAAGGAAATGCAGAACGAATGAGGCAGAAGAATGAAGCGCTCGCTATGAAGAGAGCTATCCATCGACAGTATGGTAATGATAGACACTGTCATGGAGTTGCTCTCTTTGTGGACGCCGCTCGATACAACATTTCAACGATTAATCCTTCACATTATGATATAATAATCGATAATAATTTACAAAGAGGATGCGTTATATTTGTGCTTTTCTTGATCATTCTTGGTTTCAACGTCTGTGAACTTCTATCGATTCATTCACTATGTGAGAGAAAAATAGAAATAAAAAAATATTTATACTAAAGTAGATATCATGTAATACATTCAGAGAAATTATTCGATAAAAAATGAACAAACGAATATTTCCGATCAAAATACCGCTGAATTTTTGTATTCGGTCAAGAAACATTCGATGAAAAATATCGGTTCATAATTTTTTGATCGGTTTATCTGACGAAATGCCATTGTGATTGGGAGTATCCGATTAAATTTAATCGGATATATTGATCGGATATAAAAATTAATCGGTCTTTTGAAAATCCGTTTGTAAAATCTGGAAATATCCGTTTGTTAATTTCTTATAGGATAATCTCTCTCAGTGTAAAAAAGTGAAATTATCTTGACGCATATACGATGCTCATTAGAGAGTGATGGCGCAAATTGAACGAAAACGTTCGTGCAACTTCTTGAATCACATCGCTTTGTATAACTATTGCAGCTGCTATCCTTGACGTATGCAGATCTGCGGAAGTATTACCCGCCGTCTCCCATACGGGTGTACGGCAAAAATTGCGCGGTCCGCGAGTCTATTAAAGCTGATCCCTCGCCACTTCACGGTCGCGCCGCGAAAATTGCGCCACAAAGGGTTAATGCTACGTGCGGCTTATTGCGTCTCCGCTGCGATTCAATAGCACGGTAAGCTGCACGGCGCGGAGCTCGGTGCGTTTTATTAGTTGTACGAATAGTGTATCGAAGTGCCGCGTTCGATCGATAGCCATAACTTCCTGCAGGTATAATCGCGAAAGGGAAACGGTGAAGCCAGAGGGACGACGACCTTATCGTCGATTATAGCCAGCGTGACCATCGGCGACAAGATCGCGAGACGAGATTCGTCGTGGTGCTTTTTGTTTCGCGAACTCACGACGATAAAGTTTTCCGCGCGATTATTACGATTTGAATGTCGATAATAGAATTATCGTAGACAACCGTCTAGGAAACAGATAAACGCAAGGAATATGGCTCGAGAAGAATTTTCCTTTGTTTAATTCATTTCTTTCAAGTCCTGTTAAATCGATTTAATTAGTATTATTAAGTGAGAATTTAGTTCATGTTTCGCTGTAATCTCGTATTTCACCAAATTATATTGAGAAGAGATATATATTAAAAAATATAATAATTATATTGTAAAAAATTTTTTACTCTCTGAAATGTTATAGCTAATAGCTCAGTTATATACTGACAGAAATTATCCGATAAAAAAATTAACAAACGAATATTTTCAATTAAAATACCGGTGAATTTTTGTATCCGATCCAGGAAATATCCAATGAGAAATATTGGTTCATAATTTTTTGACCAGTTTATCTGATGAAATGCCATTATGATCGGAAGTATTCGATTAAATTTCCTAATCGGATATAAAAATTAATCGGAATTTGATCAAAAAAATCCATTTGTTATTTTTTATTGGACAACTTCTCTCAGAATAAATATAACATTATAATCGGTAAAATCTTTCTGAAAGGATCAGTCAATACATATGTAGTGGCGATTATTTATATTATTGTTGTACTTGGTGAACACAGACAGTGTCATTGCATGTAATGAAAACGAATGGAAGCTGTGAATTTTATTATAATAAATACAACAAGTTATTATAACGTTATAACGTATTACGAATTTGTGTATTATAAATTTTGCGGTAAAATCTTACTTTCGCTGGTCAAAGTCAAAGTGAGATGTAAGAATAGTGAAGTGAGATTGTTTGAAACATTGAATACTGATTTTTGAACTGATTACTTACTGATATCTTTCATCAGTAGAACAGTTCTTTTATTAATTCAATCAGAGACATTTTTACTGATTCACTTTAAGAGAATATATATCCTCATTATAGAAATATCCTCTCATTTAAAGATTTATTCTGTCGAAATCTCATTATAAATCTAATGCCGCGAAATTCTGCATGCTTTGTAAACTAAAACAAAAGCTAAATAACAACACATAGTGAGTAAACAAAGAAAGGCAGGCAAGATAAATATATTAAAATTCATAAAATTTTATATCAGTTTCTTTTTATGATGACTAACGATAAAAATTCTGAAAATAATATGCTCTGAAATACTGCTGAAGCATATATATCAGATATTTATTATAGATCTACTTAAAATTCCCTAAAGTTTAATGCCCTAAAGAACAGGCAGCTTCTGTTATCTATAGATTTACGACTATACTTACTTCGCCATCTGTATACGTTAACAGAAAACTTAGGACAAAGTTTATAGTTAGTAACATGGTACGAATTTATAATGATCCAAAAGGGACAATATCGATATTTTTACGCGCGAGTATCACCGATTTAACTACAGTATATTTTTAACATACAAAAGAGCAATGTTACGCTAAAACGCTGCTGGTAAAATAGAACGCTGCAGTTCTGTATGGTATTTTATTCTGCGTACAAGTTTGTAAACGCGAATCTGTTTTGCTCGTTATTCCAGACGAGTTCGATTAAAACGATTACTCATTTAGTGAACGTCGTGTCTTAAAATGAGATCTTCCAAATACACTAAATAAATCAATGGCAAATCCACGCATCTGTTCTTTCTCTTTTTTTTCACACGAAAATACTAAATATTTCCTTGAATTTACGACAAGAATTTGAATTCTATTTCAGTCCTAAGTCGCGAAAATAGAAAAAAACCAAGGAAAAATATCTTGATCGACTTAACGATTATTTCGTTCATGGTTAAGTCGCCTTGAACAACATAGTATTTACGGTTCGAGGGTGAAGGGTCTAATGAAGACTACCGAAACAGCACACCTTCCGAGACACCCAATGATTAATGATCGGCTCCCCGAGAGGATCTTAAAAAAGACGCGCGTGCATGCGCTTGGAACGGCCGGAGGCGTGCTCCATTTTTAATTCGCTTCACCAGGAATCGCAGACCGCCGACGCTGACGCCGGTGACTGTCAGTAGGCCGGCGTCATGTCTGCTATTATTCGACGAGGCACGGGAGAACCAGGCTCAGTCGCGTGATAAACGTGGAACACCCAGGTAGGTGTGTGCGCCTGTACACGGCTATTAAGCCTGCTGGATTCTGATGTGCGCGACAGAGGTCAGTTTTTCTCAGGTCGAGTTTATTTAAGAAAAAGGAAAGGGAAGGAAAAGTGTCATACGGTCGAGGAAAGATTCGCTCGTCGTCCATTCGTAACGATTGTGCGAAAAAAATTCGCGAAACGGTCTCTCCGTCCTTCAATTTTAATTGCCGTTTAATTTTGGAAGGAACTCTGTACCCCGCACATTGCAGCGCATAAAGAAGGTGCGAAGTAATGCGAAGTAACGGTGTGTGTTGTCAGTGCTTCTCGCAAAAATGGTAACGGCTGATGTAACGGCTGATAGAAATAATTAGTGCGCATGCTGCTATCGATGTGTTTCGTCGAGGAAGACTTGGATTCGTGCTCCCTAAAGTGCAATCAGTGTACTCTTCGCCGAAATGTCATGCTCATAACCGGTGGTTCGGTTATAAGCACGGCACTGCGATCAGTAAAATCTCGTTGAAAGAATCAGTTAACAGTAGCGACTGTTCCTATTTTTGATGCAGTTTGCAAACAAAGACAGTGTCATTGCACGCAAATCGCACGTAAGCTATTAGTTTCGTCGTCACAAACGCAGAAACTTGGAATTGGCACAGGATACCGAGTCGAAATTTTGGTTCTACGTTAAACTTTGAATCTAAAACGCAATAAAAATTAAGTTAGCAGAGTAGATTTAATTTTAATGATACAATTTACTTCTATTTTGACTCTGATGATGCTCAAAATTTTCTTTTTCAGTTTTTTCAGTTTCATTATAAAATGTGTTATAGGCTTCAGAATATTAAAATAAGTGTTGAATAGAATAGTGAGGCTAAAAGTAGAATCAAAATTTCGACTTAGGTAGGTTAAGTAAAATCAAAAGAACTAGATTTCAGAGTATTAAAATAAATGTTAAATGGAATTGAATAATAAGGCTGAAAGTAGGATCAAAATTTCGACTTAGGTAGGTTAAATAAAATCAAAAGAACTAGATTTCAGAGTATTAAAATAAATGTTAAATGGAATTGAATAATAAGGCTGAAAGTAGGATCAAAATTTCGACTTAGGTAGGTTAAATAAAATCAAAAGAACTAGATTTCAGAGTATTAAAATAAATGTTAAATGGAATTGAATAATAAGGCTGAAAGTAGGATCAAAATTTCGACTCGGCTGTCTAACGTATTTGCGTACTACAGATTCTGTAGCGAAATTTACTGGTTACAATCAGCGAGATACAAGGGTGGAGCATTAAAGTGGGAGTGTTTCCACTACGAGTCAATGAATATTCACCGATTATCGGTGAAACATTCTCAAAAACGATTCAATCAGAAGATCATTTTTACTGGTTCACTTTAAGGGAGCGATAATTGCAGTAAGCATGTATCGCGAACAATACGCCCGTCGAATCCGCTCGCGCGAATCTCAATTCGCGAAGTGCTTTCGCTCTTATTGAATTAGTTTACAACTAACGTCATTGGTGCGTGAGTTCGTCTCGAATTATCTACACAGTCAGTGCACACGGCCACTAGTAGAGCGAGACCACCGTTAATTCCGAACAGTATAGTGTTCGTTCCTGCTCCGAATAAAAAGTGTCTCACACGCGCGGGTGCTTTCCGACATTTGGATAGAAAGAGATTTCACGCAGCTCCCCTCCCACACATTCTCTCGAGAAACGCGTTAGAATAATGCTGCTTCACTAAAGATTCATGTCAAGTTTAAACAACGCATAATGGAGTTGCTTTGTGAAATCTTACGGAGCAAAATGGTAATAAAAAATATTATTCTTGCACACGGTTTGAGAGGAAAATTCCGCTTACTGTAAAACGGCTCGTATCACCGTGTGTGCGTAGACAAACGTCAAACAGGAAAACTCTAAAAATAGCTATACTTTATGAACTAAAAAAGCAATAAAAAGCTATTTCATTGAACATATAATTTTATAAATGTGTAAATTTTAACATGTTAGATAACCAATGAGTATTTCACTATTTTCCAAAATATAACAAACATGGTCCTCTCCAAATCATTTGATAATTCTAAAGCTAAGAATTCATAAAGACTCTGTTTCGCGCGCGAGTAATCGTTAAATAATATATGTTGCTTTTTCCAGTTGATGTGAACTAACAACGCACAAAATACGTTCGATCCACATTCACATTCTGTAACTGGTTGCAAAAGCGACTGCATGATTTCCGCGAGACAATATCGGACGTAGTTTCCGCGTTAGCGAATCAGGTGGCCGCATTTAACGCTAAACGCGCAGTATGTATACGGGCCCGTGAATTTACGTAGTGCCGAGTAATAGCCACCGAAAATGAGTCTGCGCTGGATTCACGAGAATCTGGAAGCGCCGACGTGCGACGAGGAGTGCAGCGATATCGACGATAGCTGCAGCGACGACAGCTACGACACGGATCTGTCTCTTCACGAGGACAACGAAGCGACGACGGAAAACGGCAAGGGGATCGCTCGTGACAATCGGAAGAAGAGGGAAACCAGAAGGCCACCCACCACGACCCTCACCTTCGACGAGAACGGGTACATATCTGGACTCATGATTAAATTACAAACTCAAAAGGTTGATTGAGGCGTCACGCCAAACCACGCAATTAGCGCTGTCTTTTGAACGCGTTTCGCGAATGCAATTAAGGAGGTTGCAAGACTCATTTTGAGTGACGCGCATCAAGGAGATCACTCATAAACTTACTATTCATCGAACGAAATTACGTTTCCTATACATTTATTTCGTTATTTACGTAATAAATGTCAATATGAGGCAAAGTTGAGACAGATATACATATACGATATTACAAATATGAAAAATATTATTTTTTATTTTTCTTACTAACGTTTTATTTGTGCATCAGTTTATTTAGTAGAGATGCACAGATAATAGAAAGAGATGCACTGTACAAAATTTTTTGTTAGATTTTTGTTAACACATTTCACGTGTCCCAATTTATCAATTCTAATTTTTGTATTACATAAGGCGAATATGTTAAAAAATAACATAACTTATCTGTATGTGTGTGTGTGTGTGTGTGTGTGTAAATACTTTACATATAAAATGTGTCATCAAGAATGCACATGTTACATGCAAGTTGTGTTACTTTAATACTGAGAAATGGTGAATATGAATTTAATGCAGAAGAATGAATATAACACAACGACAATACATTAAATTAATACACAGGCATGTTAAAAATTTAACACAAGTATTTTGGATTGATTTCAACACAATTAAAAAATGTTTTCGCCGTATATATAAGTGTTTAAATATGTGTTTATATATATGCATCTTGAGTATTACTCGATATATAAATTACGAACTTTCCACCATCGGTATATTAGTCTTCAATATCGTAGTAGTGTTTCATTAAAATCCTAATTTTAGCAAGATTGCAGGAAATAAAAATAGAAATTAAAAATAGCATACCAACTCCAAGATTTCGAATGATCAATCTTCTTCTAATTGCACGAGGAGTTAGATAATATCTCAATTTATATATTCACGGAAAAACAACTCTGTTAATATAACTGGGTTTTTTGTTACTTGGGACCAGATGAAAAATTGAACAGGAATATTCCTGTAGGAAGTTTCCACTCATCAGTCAATTACTGTCAGTTATCTCGACGGAGTTTTAATGCAGCTGAATGTTTTCGACGAACGTTTTCGGTCACAGTAACAAAGATATTATTTTCCATCAGCGAATTTTTTGTCTGGTCTCCATATAGTCACTGAAATTTTTCTGTGCACGTTTCGATGAATTCTTAATGAATTAATTTTGCTTTAAAACCTCCTTAAAATGAAGGAACAGCTGAATGTGAAATAGACAAAATTGCTGGCTGCGCCTCGCAGAGGGAAACGACGGTATTTAACATGGACGCTTTTCGCTCGCGTTCCCTAGCCCTACGAATCTTCCGGTGAAATGTGTAATTTGCGCAAATGGACAAATTAGCATAATTACTGGAACAAGGTAAAATGCTCGATCGTCACTAGATACTTGGGGGACGCATTTGTCTACCTAGTTGTCCTCCAACACACGTTCTAATGTACATTCATTGATCACTTGACTCGATTAACTTTCTGCTCCATATCGCCGCAGGGTCAGCAGATGCACTAGGTGTAGTTTGTGTTAATAACGGTAGTAAACGAGCGCGGTGCCGTACGCATGGTGCGGCGTCGCGGCCATAATTTCTCGCGAACTGCGCAACGTTTCCCTGCTACGTGACGCGTTACACAAAATTATGATTGACGCTCCGACGGATTCGCCGAGATGCAATTTGCACCGTTCGACAGAAATATTCGAGAGTTCTGTCCCGGAAATAAAGAGGAGCCACTTTTATCACGTTGTTTCCACCAAGGACAAAAATTTTGTATCTTTACGAGGAAAATGTTTCGGGATAGGCTGTTACACGAAAATTTAATTGATAAACGATAGTTATGCGATATAACACTCGAAGAGGATTCACACGTTCGTTCATCATCTACTTAGACGCGCTCGTGTTAGGCAGCTTTAAAGTTACCTTGTAAAACTGCGTACAATTACCGCAGCGGGAACAAAGTAAGTTGATGCTAAGAATATACCTCAACGGAAGGGATAATGTTTTTCTTTCTCAGTGAGGCCTCTTGAAAAATACGAGAGTGGTTGGAGTAGTATCTTTGTGATAAATATATTTTTATGGGAAGATACTTTTAATTCATTTCGGGTTAATCAAGGCAAACGTTAATGAATCAGGTTGAATAACTGAACACGAGAGAGTTCAAATCGCGCAGAAAAATACATGCATTGCATTCAAAATTTTTTTAAAAATTCATATGTAAATCTATTACAAGTTCATCATAAACATCAAATTTATTTAAAATGCATTCTAAATGCTGGTGCAAGTTTAGCATTTCAATCAAGAATATCAAATTAAAAATTCGGTTTTCTTATTACATAGAGTTGAATCAACTTTTTTCCAATAAAGTTTTATAATATTCTTAAAAAAAATTATCTCCTTCTTTTGAGTATACAATGAGATTTTCTAAAATTCATGATGAGTATATTTTGAGACTATCATCAGCAAAATATTCTTTGTTGAAGATAATCATTATCCAAAAGAAGGAAAGTAAACCGAGTAATAGCTTTCCTTGGCAATAGAATGATATTTTTCTGCGTGAAGTGATGAGTTTTTCCTTTTTAAAGAAAAAAAACACCCACATTTTAAATACGAATTACAGATCGACACGATTAATGACGCGTAATTCCGTTCGGACGTATTGTATGTTTACTTACTACTTCACGCGTTTACACCTTCACGCAACGGATGTAAATGTTGTCTGCAGGAGGCCATCGAGCATGCCTTGTACACGAAGCCATGTAAAATTAACCGCGTTAACGTGCACTTTCTGCACGGCGGCCAAGCCGTTCGCGTAACTCTCGCACAAAGCCTATTGACATTTCGTTTCCTCTCCCAGAGAATCGGTTTAAAATTAACGAAGTGCGCGCGAGAGCGCCTACGGTACGGCGCTCTCGCGGTGCGCTTCATTCACGGGGCTTGCTGACCTGGAAAACCGGCCGACCTATATATTTTCTAGCGTCTATAACGGCATGAACACCCCTCATGGCTGCGGGAAAAACGTAACCCTAATAACCAACCGCTTCAGAAATACATTACGCTTAAAAGTTCGAACAATATTTAAAAAAGAAAATATAACACAGACGCGCCGCAAATATATTGCAATATTTTGGATTATAGTTGGATATTCTTCAGAAAAGATCAGACTTATATAAATGTTATTATAGGGACTTGTGTATTGTGGTTATATTTTCTATCTACGTATTAATCTCATTTTTATTGTACAATAGAAACAAACAGATCCTTTCTCTCTCTTTTTCTCTCTCTTTCTCTTCTTATATAACTGTATGACACTCACGTAGGTAACTTATGAGCTATCCAATTGCAATTACAGGACGCCGCGTAACGTCGACGCCAAATCGCGCAAATATTCGCCGTACGTGATATGGGATCCTCGGCAGCCGGCGAAAAATCCCGCCTACAATTGCCGCGCAATAAAACTGTATTGTCGGACCGGGTATCATCTGGCAATAACACCGTCGGGACGAGTGCGTGGATTATATGGCAACAATGAGTCGCACGGTATTACCTCCCTCCTACTTCTACAAAATATTCATCAGAACAATTGGGCTATTCTGAAATTAATCGTCTGAGTGACAACCAGGGTCATTTATGTCCGAGCTATTCTAAGTGCTCGCTCTTCGAAGTATTTCTATTTAAAAATCATAAAAAATGAAATACTTGGCAATTTATTTTTCATGAAAAAACTACGTGGTTCTCAAGTAGAAGAGTAAAGAAAGTTTCAATTATTTTTGAGCATTTTTTTAACACTCCCAAAGGTTGAAAAATCAAGGAAGACATTAATAATTTTGGTTACTCACTCTGAAGGTACATTGAAAGAAAGAAATATCCAAAAAACAGTGAATTTTTTTCGGTGGATGCTAATAACATGTTTGCTAAACTATTATAAAATATTTTTCAAATAATAGAATACTTTAAACGTAAAATCTGAAGAAAACATTAGCTTTTCATGAAAGCTAAGCTAATAAAAATAGTGATAATGATGATAATTACAATATCAATAAAATATAATTATCCCATATATTCTAGATGATCAAGTGATCCTTTGATTGATAACTTATTTTAGCTATACTGAAAGGAAAAGATATTTAAAAAATAGTAAATGTTTTACTTAGTTTTATTTAGTTAATAATTTTTTCTTTTATCCAAATAGAATAAATAAATAAATAAATAAATAAATAAATATATATATATATATATATATATATATTTATTTATTTATTCTATTTGGATAAAAGAAAAAATTACTAACTAAATAAATATTTACTATTTTTTAAATATCTTATATTTAAATATTTAATATTTTTAAATTTATATTTTTTATAATATACTCTTTTTCTTTCAGTTTACCAAAAATAAGTTGTCATTCCGAAGATCACTTGATCATCTAGAATATATGGGACAATTATATTTTTATTGATATTGTAATTATCATCATTATCATTATTTTTATTAGTATCATATATTACCGTTATTAAAGGAGCTTTTATTTTGCAGTTTTACTTCATGTGATATCCGTATCTTTTGGCATTATCAAAATACAAAGTGTCGAAACAAGGCTGTATTTAGCATTCAATAAGAAAGGCCGATTATACGGAGAGGTAAGACGCACAAAAAAGTATTACGTTAGCCGTTAGAATAGGAGAAGACGAAACATTGTCCTTTGACAAATTTTCTTAACTTACGATTATATAAAAAAGCTCTTACAATTGAGAAATATGAGACATAAATCAACAATATTATCGTACAATATTATCGGCGTATGCAAAATTTTGTGTGTAAGGTAAAAATATCAATGCCTGAATACTAGAGATGGAAAATTACCGTCAAATTAAAAAAATTACTGATACTACGGTAAAATTGTAATTTATCGGCAATTTTGGAAGTTCAAAAAGATATTATTTGGAAGTTCAAAGAGATAATTAAATAATACTAAGGTGTAGGAGATGTTCAGTTGGAAAGAGATAATGTTACTCTTTCTATTGGAATTGCAATATTATATAATTAAACAAAGTAATTTATAATTTCTAATGTAATGTTAAATGTGTTTCCGTTTTTTTCTGTTCTCCCTATAAAAAATATAAGATGATACACATGTCATATGTTTTTTTGTAAAAACTCTAATAAAAAAAAGTTTTTAATTTTCCCTCTAGTTGTAGAGGCTACTTTTATGAGTTTTATTTAAAACTTCTTTTATATCTGTAATTTTGTTTTAATTACTATTTTACCGAGTATTCTAAACTGTGTAATTTATCGAAAAATTACCGTCTCATTGGGTCATTTTCATCTGGACACTAATAAAGCTGGTACCTAACTCTAGACATTCTTATTGTTTTGGTATTAAAAATTTCGAATAACGAAATTTACGAATATTGAACTTTCAATATAATAAATATTCATATATATTCAATATAGAGATATTTATATTTTTTCTTTGTATTGCAAGCTTATAAACCTACACAAAGGTTACACTCCAATTTCTTTCTAATTTGGTACAAATGTAGCAGATATAGTACAAGATATAATTAAATAATTCGGCATAGCTGAGAAACGAACCATTCTAAATTTCTTTAGCCGAGATTGCTAAATATTTTAAATCTATGCTAAATTAGTCAAAAATGATTCGAATCTCGGTCAAACCGAGAGAAATCCGGCAATTGTAATTAAAATTTTAACAAAATTGGAATAGCTGAGACACGAACTATTCTAAATTTCCTTAGTCGAGATTCCAACCGAAATATTTCAAATCTGTGCTAAATTAGTCAAAAATTCGAATCTCGGCCAAACCGAAAAATTATTTGTATAAATAATTTTTTTCAACTTTTTACTTGTTTTGTTTAAACATTTTATTATTTGTGCAAATTTAACATATTTGACCTCATATTCATAATCAGCAAACCAAAAACGCCTATATCTTATATTCAATTTTATTTCTTATGTAGTTGTGTTGCACTTGTTGATGATAGGAAGAAGAACATTAAAAAGCTATAAACTGCCCACGAAATTCAAAATGGGCCAAAATGAAAAATTTGACCTAAATATTTTTTGTATTTCTACATTTATGTTAAATTAGGAAGAAATTGAAGTGTACCTTTTAGGAAGGTTTACTTGTTAGATATTTGTTAAAGATCAAAACATGACAAAAATGTTAGATACCAATGTTATTAGTATCTAGGCATCGGTAATTTTATTTTATAGCGCCCTGTGAAATTTTGCACGGAGATTTTATAATAAAAATTATTATAGGATTTTGTAACTGAGAAGTAGATTGACATTCTGCAATAATTGACTATTCTTTAATTTTTTATGTGCTACTTATATTTTGAGAACTGAAATATATATCACTTACTGAAACATTTGCTGTTTTTGACGAAATATGTTATGTTTCTAACGAAATTTACTATAGCAAGATAGACTTTACTGACAGACTATTTTCCTGGACTACTAAAAGCATAATAAACTTGAAAACAATTTATATGAAAAAGAACTATAATATTCTCTCTATGTGCGTGGTACTGTAAATTTTCCTCGACTTCACGCAAACCGTTTCTCACGACAATTTTGCCGAGTCTAATTCTACCTAATTTTCAACGATAGAAATAAAAATCGGTATAAATTGGATAAAATTTCTTTCACAAATTGTAATTTGACGGAAGTCGTTGAGGCCTATTACATAAATCTTGCACGACTAATTTCGATTTCAGGTGAATATGAACAACGACAATACCGAATGGGAGCAGTGGAGCATCGGCGCCTACGACGCGTTTCGATCACGTAAATACGTGCACTATGGCTGGTGGATAGGGATAAAAAAGAACGGACGTGCGAAGCCGGGGCCGAAAACGTCCTGGGGACAAAAGGCGATACAATTCTCAGCTATTCAAGAGGATTAATCGATCAAACGAGGAAAGTTCAAGAACGTGCCCGGGCATGCCTCACGAGATATGCTTTTTAGCTTTGATGAAAATGATCGTTCGTATTCCGATCGTTACGTGATTCGTCAAAGTTCCCGGAAAGAAGTTCAGTACGAGACAGTGATGAATGAGAGTTCTATGAGGGAAGAAATGATGACGACTAAAGGATAAGGAATAAAGAACTTATTCAGACGAGAAATCACGAGAAATGACCGATCAGTAACACGTTCCAATAGAATATAATGTTTATTATAACACTGTGTTGTCACTCAACAATGGGATAATTTGGGATTGTGCATTCTGCTTGTGCCCTCAAACTGAAACTCTATCGCAAGTCGCAGTTTCTCTCATTTTGCGGTAAATATATATTTGTTAACATATATCAATCGTCGAATCAATACGCTGACAAGCAAGATGATTGCATAACTCGTAATTTATGTAACTTGAAAATCGTTCCGTCGTAAACAGCGAAAACTGGCCATCTTGCTTGTAGCATACACGCGAATATCAATTTGTCATAATATATTATTATATATAATTATATAGCATATTGTAATTGTATATAATTATACATCATCTCTTTTGTACATCTACATACAATGCGTACATATATATAAATACGTCGAAATTTTCAAGCAAGAGTTTTCTATGAAAAAAGAGAACACTCTCTCCAACGTGTGAGAAATATGACTTCAAGTGTTTCAATATTTAGCATTGCAATGTGAACATGAAGTGTGCATTTCGGACAGATTTCTATAGATTTTCGTATAAATGCAAAGAATCAATGGATCCAGATGAATCAAATGATTCATCCATATACGATTGCAAATTAAGTAATTAAAGTTACCGACATATGTTAAATAAATAATAAAGAATTATGAAATTACTTAAAGAAATTCTGTTACACTCCCTCTCTTACTTGACATCACACACTACTTAACATAAAAAATGTTTGAAGTGAATAAATTACATTACTTTTCACAGACGGGAGAGAGAGCAATAACAAATACATTATCAATATTATTATGCATTAGTTTCATAAGAATCAGCTTAATCCTGATGAGAAAAATTAATCGAGCTGATTCATACGTTGTATATATAATAATTATAACGTTTTTTTTTTTAAAAATTTGCTAAGTATTCATATTTTGTAAAAACTGTAAAAATATAAAACCCATCTCGTTGGAAATGCGTAATAATAAGAATTCCAAGCGTGTTTTCAAGTCACAATCACAGTGAATGCATTATAAATAGTCTTAATTATAAGAAAAAGCATATTTTTTGATTATTCGATTGAGAAAAGGTAAATTGTTTTATGAGAGACATTTCTCCTCCCTCATAAGAATTATGTACAAGCTAACCAAAGCGAATTAAGCATAACATATCGAATGATATTTTTAAAAATGCCGCGGTGCCTTTCGCTAAGATCTTGTAATCAAATGCGCGCGCACTTTCCAAAATAGTCGAAACAATCACAATTATTTTAAGATCACTGTAGCTTGTTTACAATTTCTCTAAGTTGTTTAATTGTTTCAGTACTTCACTTCTTCTTGGTGTTAGGACTTGTCGACTGAAACACGCTGGATGCTGACATTAAGTTCTCAATGTACTGGCTCAGAACCTGATTCTCGCTCCTTAGTTTGAGATTCTCCTCCTTTACACTGTCCACTCTCTGTGACAGGTCTAAACAAAACACATATTCACACTTTATAGCATTGTCAACAATATCTTCCTTTTCTAATGTGTTAACTATTTCTTTAAATCTACACATACCATCTAAAGTATTTTGTAACTCAAGGACCTGTGCAATCAGTCTAGCTTTTTCCTCTTGCTCATCTGGACTAATGTCTGGATCTAGACCTGTAATTAGAGAATATTTTTTATATATTATCTTGATTCTTAAAAACTATAACTTCCATACATTTGCCAAAATATAGAAAAATTATTACAAAGTAAAAAACCTTCTAATTGAATATATAAAATGATTAGAAAAAATTTAGAGATAGAAATCAAAATATTGCTTACCTAATATTATTCTCTTCAATTTACAAACAAGTGAAATTAATATCATTCTGCTTCTATTCAAAGTTTGAAAAGTGTAAAATATAAAAGCCATGCATCTGATATCATAGGATCAATTAACAATATTGATAGTGTCACTTACTGTTTGGACTACAGCTTCCATTAGTAAACGTTGATGGAATAGAATCCATACTACGTCCTCTGCCTAATGCATCTGATATATGTGAGGCATTATCCAAAATTTCCTCTTCTGGTATTATCACTGTCAAGAATGTACAAGAAATAACCCTAGCCGATGTTATTACACAAGAAAAATAGCAAAGGCATAAGGAAGTCCAAATATGTAACGCGCAGTATGTAAGGAACATGAAAAGATATTAATAAAGAGGTTTCCTGAGCATAGTAATCTGAGAAAGAAGTCAAGCAAAGATTTGATTGGCGCCTCTCATTCCTCACGTTGCATTAAAGAAAGTTTCAGAAACAAGCAGAATGCACGTCACATTGTATGTGCAATATTAAATATAGAGTGCACACTTTAAACTCAGTTTGATGCTGATATTAGTAAATAGGATTTTGAAAGAGGTAAATGAAAATAATAATCGCACAAGCGCAAAATAAAACGCCAGCGAAACAGTAAATGAGACTCATGATAAGGGCTTGACTGATGCGTAAAGTAGGTTATGATTCATTAATTAGTGCGGGTAGCAAGGAGCAGTCGCTAGGGAACATAGCTGAATGCACAATTCGAAAATTCCTACCTTGGGGATCGTCGTCGGCCAGTGGTATACTATTCATGTCATCCTGAAGTTTAGCTGTCATCGTCGCTGACATTTCGACGGCGGTCAGGCACGTAGCAGCGAAGTCGCACGCGACGCAAACCTGCGCGCAACGATAGACTTGACTTTATCGATCCCCGACACAACCAATCGAGACTCGCGATATTTCCTTCGCGGCGCCGTCGGGCCTGCTTGATTATCGCGTATGTACGGCGAATCAATCGAATCTAAAAACTGGTTGAACTCTCTGTGTCATTACGCGTTCTGCTCCTTTTGCACTTTGCGGGACGTCGATCTGTCATAACCACCTGCATCGTGCAGAACTGCACGGTGTATCGAAATGACCGGACGGCGGAAACGCGCCAAGTCGTGCATACACTTTCGCGAGAGTTCCGATAACCTAGATTTTACCCGAGCGTCATCCTCACGAGCGTTTGTTGATGATATCACGTAAGGTGAAAGAGAGTTCGTTATTTTTAGACCAAGTTTTCACGCTTCTTTTGTTCCTTTCTATATTTGCTCCGTTATATTCTTTCTCCCTTCCTCTTTCCCTCTCTTCCTCTTTTTCACTCAGAACCTATCTACACTTTGCAGACCTTTTGCATCGTTTTGGACGTGGAAAGTGCACGAAAGTGCAGTTGAGAGCAAAAGGTCAACGTAAGATGTGATGCTTTGTAAACAATACATTGCATAAGATGCGATAATTGCAAGCAACCGATGACAAATTATTAAAAATATTCACCGAAGTGTACATCAAACGAGCGTGATAGACTTGGACAATTGAAGAACTACGACATGACCGATCATCGGTGACTGACAGTATGTTTAACTAGAGAGAAACCTGAGAGCGGCCACGCCATATGTTTTGGGCGACACCGATTTTCACACTGGTGCGATGCGCCATCTGCACCCATTTTTCAGGTGGAACTACGTTCCCTATACCCATTTTCAGACGATGCCGGTAAAGCAGCGATTCGGTGTGTGTCTATTCTACGCCCATTTCTTGGTGATTCGTGTCCGTGCTAAGCGCATAATTACGTGATTAAGAACATGGACCATTGCGTACAAACTTATATTCCATTCAACATGTACATAATCTTTTCTCTTTACGTATTGTCATAAATTTATTTACGTGTATATGCGTACATAATAATGCGATTAATATCGTTGCGTTATGTAGAGCATGGAAGTGGTCGTGCTTTTCGCGGTCAGGTTCTCGCATATACACGTACATATGATATTTCGTACGCATATATACGTAAATAAATTTATGACAGTGCGTAAAGAGAAAAGATCATGTGCATGTTAAATGGAATATAAGTTTGTACGCAATGGTCTATGTTCTTAACCACGCAATTATGCGCTTAGCACGGACACGAATCGCCAGGAAATGGGTGTAGAATAGACACGCACCAAATCGCTGCTTTACCGGCATCGTCTGAAAATGGGCGTAGAGAACGTAGTTCCACCTGAAAAATGGGTGCAGATGGCGCATCGCACCAGCGGGAAAATCGGTGTCGCCCAAAACATATGGCGTGGCCGCTCTCAGGCTTCTCTCTGATTTAACAAAGCAACGTGTACGAAATGTTTCGGTGTCTCGCAAAAGTACAGTTATACAAAAGTACAGTTCGATGTATTATATTAATTAGAATAATTATCTGAGTATTCGGAGTGTCGGTTTATCAGTAGTTGCTAATGCAGCTATAACCCGTCACCGATAACACAAGCAATATAACCTCCAACAGTGATTCTGCATTACAGTTCCACTTGGAAAGCAGAAGGCAGTTCGTGTTTAAGGCTAATATTACATGCGTCGTACGACGAGTATTATCGGACATATTGATTGTCGGATAGAATTCTTCTAAGATCCCTGATTTTTCCTTCAGATACCCCAAAAATTCTCTATCCAACAGCCAATTAGAACGTCCGTCAAGCTTGCCGTACGATACGTGTAATATCGACCTAAGACGCGACGAGTAACAAACTTTAAGAGGCACAAGCGAATCGACCAATCACAACTGAGAATTTCAAAATTTCGTAATGCTTGATTGCGATTGGCCGCTTGACTTATTGCTTTAATTCCCGCTTTCGTGCTCTATCACTTTTGTGAAAGGCCGAGACGGACTGGCAGGAATTTGCATCGCTGAGGATATTTTTGACGATGGATCGCAAAATTAATACTGCACGATCTCTCAGGTATGTACATCAGATAGCTGAAACACTACGTAGCGTCAGTGCGCTTCCATTATCTCCTCATTAATAGATTCTATATCATAATATGATTCTTTATTCAGGTGTTTAGCGTTGCTCTCGGCGGCGTTCCTTCCAAGTGAACACCAACAAACAGCAACATTATATGAATGTTATAATTCCCAATTAACAGTTACAATATAATTGTCACATAATACTCGTATTATATTGCATTTACGTTGTCGAGGAAATTGTAGCGTTGATGTTATGTTGTTGCTAGTTGGTGTTTACCGAATTCACTGGCTTGGTGTTCGTGTAAAGAGTGAAATCACGAAGCATGAAAGCGTATTGTATAGATACCGGATCCCGTAGTATTTTGGAGTGTGAGTACCATTAACTTTTGATTATAATATCATACATTGATTATACATTGTATCTGATTATATATTATACTTAGAACGTAATGAAGTGAACGTAATTAGAACGTATGTGAAATGATGTGCTCGAGTAAACTATATAAAAGATTGAAAGGCATCTGAAAAAGATCAGCTTATTCCATTTTTATAGCATCATTTAGAGGCGTTCCCATTGCCTGATTTATGACTGTCAATTTCGCACACGTTCTGGAATTATTTCGTCGCCTAGTCTCTAGATATGAGTTACGTTACGCCTGGTGCTGAAATCCGTGTTCTACGTAAAATATATAATGGCGATCGTTCTTTTTTATTCACGAAAATGCATAGCAAAGAGAAATGAGGAACATACATGAAAAATAGACGTTTATAGTAAAGAGAATATACTTTCGCGATTTAAATGAAATAAAATATATAATAGTGTTCGCTCTTTTATTTATGGAAATGCATAGTGAAAAATAACGGAAAGCAAATATATAAGAAACACACACACACACAAAATAAAAGTTCAAAGTTAAAAGAAATATACTTTCATGATCTTCTTCATGGTGGTCTTTTAAAATAAATCAGTAAAGACGTTTCTGATTGAATCAATAAATTCTTAAAGTGTAATTCTTCAATCAGTAAATCTTTCTGATTGAATCAGCGAAAGGAATTTTCACCAATGAACAGTGAATACTTATTGATTTTCAATGGAAACATTCTACTTTACTTCGCCTTATCTATCGATTCGCTTATATCTCATTGACCAGTGGAAGTAAGATTTCATTACCAAATTATTAGTACATAAATACATTATTTGCTGTGCCAGACCTAGCTTTCTATATTTATGATAATTGAATTAATTTCTATACACATTGCATGTAATGACACTGTCTGTGCTAGTAAACTGCATCAATAATAGCTGTATATTTTATTGATTGCAAAGCTATATTTATAACTTATACTATACTTATATAACTGAACCAATTATAAGTATAGCATTTTAGTGAAGAATACACTGACTGTACTTTAAAGAGTGATATAAGATAAAAGCATCAATTTATAGTACCTAATTTTGAACATTCTTACTATTTTAGTCTTTAAATATAGATGTTTGAATGTAGAATATATGTACATATTCAATATAAATAAATAAATAAATAAATAAATATATATATATATATATATATATATATATTCTTCTTATGTTAAAAATGTAAATATTTATATTTAAAAACTTTAAAATAATAAAAATGTAAGGATAATTGTTTATTCTATTTAAATAAGGAAATATAAGAAAATAAATAACAGTAGGCAAAGGAGGATGATATAAGGTAAAAGTCATGGACATGTATTTTATTATATTCTTATTGTTTTGAAGTTTTTAAATATGAATATTATCATATTTAATTATATGAATCATTCATAGACAGAATATTAGTTTTTTCTGTTGTTCTTGAATATTATAAATTCTTTTCAATTTTACTATGATTTATAGTGCAAGAATACATTGTAAATTTTATTAGAAATATAACGAATTTTTAATATATATATATATATATATATATATATATATATATATATATATATATATATATATATATATAT